GAGCAAAATGGACTGGAGGTGTGGCTCAAACGGTAGAGGACTTGCTTTGTAAGCCTGCAGTCCTGAGTTCTACCACAAAAAAAGGGAGGATTAGACTGTGCAGCATGGGGAGCCTGGGGCTTGGGCCAGGCCAGATAATTTGAAGAGTGATGTCTTTCTCTTGCACACTTAGTGTAATACAGCATGCCACCCAGGGCCAAGGGACCCCCACTTTTCCAGCTGTGGGCCAAGGCTCAGGGCTTCACAGTGGGGGCAGCGGCAACCCACTTCTGGCTTGGAGCTGCCCTGGTGCACCAGCTTCTGTCCCCTGAGCCCAGCCGATGGCCCCGGGCAGACTCACCCGACCTGGAACTCCCCAGCTGACCTGGAGAAGGAAGCTGCACAGCTGCTTCCCACCTGGGCAGGAATTCCTCCATTCCTCATGAAAGAGTGTGGAGACCCCAGTGCATGGCAGCTTCTGGCTCAGGGCCTCCATCTCTTGTAGGGAGGAACCCAGCATGGCCCAAGTGGGAGCCAAGCTGGGCATAGCCAGTGAGCGGGGCAGAGCCACAGGGCCACTCCTGCCGCACATGTACCAGCCAGAGCAGAGCAGGGCACAGCGACCTCCCAGGAAGGATCTTTTGTGGGATACTGGGGTTGGGGGAGCTGCAGCACCCCAAGGTTTGGTTCTCAAGCTGTGGTCCCTCCAGCAGCCACTGGCCCCATCTCACTCAGATGCTTGCTGCTGGGGCGGGGGTCACACAGTGCCTAGAGTTGGCCTCCTGGTTCTGCTCACCTGCCAAGTGGTCCTGCTGGAGGCTCCTGCCCCACTGAACCGTTATGTAAGTGGCCCGAGAGCGCCCCCCGGTGGAAAGATAGGGCCACACCGATGACCCAGTAGTTGCACTTAAAGGGATTTGTGTAGAGCAGGGACCCACTATCCTGGCTCCCTGTTATCCGGGACTCTGGGCCACTCAAGAGGGTGGAGTGACGTGGGTGTGGGTGTGGGTGTAGCCGGGTCATGTGGAGCGGGTAACCCTATAAACTCCACTGTTCAAGGCTCAATGTCCTCTTCTGCTCCTGGCTCCAGCCCACCTCCTTCTGGCCTTGGCTCTTCCTTCTTCCCCCTGAATCACAGCACAGCTGGCCTCCATGCCCCCCGAGCATGACAGTGGCCGAGTGGATGAGAGTTTCAGGACTCCAAGGGTTAGCCTGGCTCAGCCGAATGTGCAGATGACCTCAAAGGTAAAGGGGTTTGCCACTACCTTCCAGACAAGCAGCATAGAACATCTGCCTAGCATGTACAAGGCCATAGGTTCAGTTCCCAGCACTGCAAAAAAAAAAACCAAAACCCAAAATGAAAAATCAAAAACTCCTAGACACACACATGCAGCATGCCCAGCCACTTGTGGACAGCTGTGCCCTCCTCATCCTCACATCAACCCTGCCCTTTACATCTCAAACATCACCTGGAGGACCAACCTGGGCCCTCGCGCCCAGGGATCCCAGGCAGGTGCAGCTCCTGCCTTGCCTCAGAGGCTTTGCTCCACCCTAGCTGGGAAGCCAACTGGAAGGGCCATTGTGTTTGATTCCTATGGCCCTGGAAACTGGGGTCACAAAATTAAAATCACTTTTATTGACTAAAATAGCCCTTTCAGAAGGCCCCCTCCTGGAGGTTCTGGGGAGTATCTGCTAGACCCTGCCTCCCACTCAAGCATCCTGGTGATAACTCTGGATTCACCTGGTAATCCAGACTAATCTGCCATTCGCGACCCTACCCCCAATCACATCTGTCAAGTCCCTTTTGCCTTGGAGGGTGACACAGTCAAGGGCTTAGGGGATTAGGAGGTGGACAGCTTTGTGGCTGCTGTTCTGCCTGCACCAGGTGCCCCACCAAATCTAGCAATGTGAGAGTCAAACCAAGTAATTACGCCTGACACATTACAATTCACTGAAAAACAGGGAGCCCTCTGTGTGACACAAATAGATACATGGGAAGCAAGAATCGGTGCCCTGAGGACTGATGAAAGCCAATAGAAAGTGGGGGTGAAGGCTCAGCTCTCCCATAGGCCAAGTCGGAAGGAAAGGGGGTATGGTAGAAATACAGCCGCGCTCTGGGGTGCTGAGTGGTGGCACATTCAGGCGTGGATGTGCAAGGCTCTTGGACGGAGGTAGTCTCGGCTGGGAGGGCCTCGGCACATCTTGGGATAGCCTCAGGTGGGTGAGGCCCAATTCTTTAGTGGGCAGTGCCACTTGGAAACCAAGGTCTGTCCCCCTGTGTGCATAGCACTGTTGGAGGTGCCGGCCGTGGGCACCCTCTGGACAAGTGGTGAGGAGGAGTTGTGGGGGGCCGAGGGTACTAGAAGGGGGCTATCGGAGTGGGGGGGCGGCATGCTTAAAGTGGGTCTTTGTATGCCATGGCCGAGTAAAAGGCCCTGACACAGCAAGGCCAGGGGCTCAAAGTCGTTATCGGAGGCTCTGTTTTGAAGAGTCTTAACATGTTGGTGCTTGTTTAAATGGCTTGTCAGGATGTTCTGGAAACCAACAGAAAAACGTGTGAATTTTGTCTTTCTGGGGACCGGGTTATGGGGCCAGTAAGGCCTTGTTGCTTGGTCCTTGCAGGGGCGGGGTAGTCCTGTGCCAGAGCAGGGGGTGTCTCCCAGTCTCTGCTCTCAGGCCCCCTGGAGGACGGAGGTAGGGAGTCCACACGCGTAGATAGATGGCTTGGGACAGATGTCTGAGTCCATCTCCTAAGTATGTCTCATTAACCCAGGCTCACACTGGCACCTCCAACCTCAGCCCAATTACCCAGGGCTGCTGCCTGTCCATACGCGGATGCTGTCTGCCGACAGGGACAGGCTGGCTCCTTGGATGGTCCGTGTATGGATTTACTTAATCCATGGAATTTAATCTCCTGCCTGCACCTCCCCATCCCTCCCTGGGGACCCGCGGACCCTACCCAGGCCCACAGCGCCTCATGGCTTCCTTGTCCCCGTCTTTGCCCTCCATCCTGGCTTCTGCATGGTTCCTGGAGCCCTTATAAGATGCCAACCTGGCCCTGTCTTGGGTATTGTCCCTCAGTCAGCACATCCCCCAGTCACTCCCGAGGACGTGCACTGTCCTCCCATGCTTGTGCAAAGCGTGCACATGGTTATGTTTGTGTTGTGTGTTCGTGCGGGCCAGTACACATGTCTGTGCATGGTTGTGCTGTGTTTCAGCAGGTGTGATGGGGCCCAGAGCACCGGGGCTGGCCTCCCCATCTGGAGCAGTCCCTTTTCTGTCCCCGGATCTGATAGCCAGTGGACCAGGAGGCAGGTGCCCCTGCTGACAAGGTCACGGGAGGGCCCCCAGAGCCTCAGCGGAGAGGTCAGGGCATCCGGGAGTCAGTAGGAAGGCGGAGTGGTTGCTCGTGGCTGCAAAGGGGAAGCCATGGCTTGCTGGTGATCTGGACCAAGTCTCCCAGCTCCTGTGGGTCTCTGTGTCCTTGGTTGCAAAAGGCCACCAAGGGGTGCATCGACTCACACACGCATCCATTTTGTCCCACGTGGCCACGTGGAGAGAAATGGAGGTGGATTGTGCCATCTCATACCCACAGCAGACAGAGAAGGAGAGATGGGTCACCATGGCGACAGTGCGGTCCTCAGGGGCTTGCTGCTTTCTGGGTGTGTGTGTGGGGGCTGCTCACACCTGTGAGTCCGTGCTGTGGTGCGTCCAGTGCTTGCACTCGTGTGACGCTCTGGAATCAGAACAGTGGTACTTACAGGGTGTAGAGGAAGTTCACATATGCAGACACATGCATATGCATACAGACATACATGCACACACAGCACAGTCACACACACAGTCACACACGTACACATGTGTTCATAGACACACAGGCAAATACAAGCATACATAAGCATGCATGTGGGCACACGTGCACAAACACACATGCACACACATGCACAAGGCACACAATATACACAGACACACACCCACGCCCACAGATACACAGGCACACATTGCCTCCAGGCAGCCCTCCCAGATGCCTTCTTGGCAGGAAGTTCTGTCAGAAGCACGGAGCCCTGCACACTCATCAGTGGGTGGAAGTGACTGCTGCCTCAGTGGCTGTGCTGGATCATGCGACAAGGTCATGAGGGGTCAGTTGTTGGGAGCTGAGCTTAGCAACCAGAAGAACTGAGGTGGTTCAGAAAACTCTCAGGGGCTAAATGAGGAATAGATGGACAGAGAAGGTCTCTTGGGAACATGGTTTGAACAGTGGGGCGGGGCTAGGCCCGGGGGAGGGGGGGGTACAGCCAGCAGCCCAGTGCATCCCCTGCTGTCCAGGGGACTTGTCTGGCAGACTCCATGTGCCATCTGTGGACGCCAGACAGGCCAGGTTTCCTCCAAGCTCTGGTTCAGCTGGGCAGTCCTGATCTGTGTGGCCCAGTAGTGGGAGGCTGGGGCATGTGGTGCTGTCCTGGGGACCTCAGTTTTCCCGTCCATGGATGCATAAGAGGGTCCCTGCTCTCCCCAGGACCCCGACCTCCAGCTGTGCAGACTCCAGAGTGTATCTAAAAGCCAGCAGCTGGTTCCACGGGCAGGGCCCTCGATGTCCTTCCAGCTTCAGAGGGCCAAAGTAGAGTGACCAGAGTCCAGGGGAGAGATGGAGGTGCATCCTTCCATAGTCTCTGAGACTCTGACTCCTCAGAGGGTGTCCAGGAACCTCAGAATTGGGAACTGGACACACTCTAGTCATCTTTGCCAACCTGATGTCCCCCTTCCACCTCATAAGGTCAGAGCGGTGCCCAGTAATCGGCCACAGGACTGCAGGCTCTGATCATGGCGGCTGTCTGGAGGCCACCCCTTCATCCACCTATTTCTGGTCTCCTCCAGGTGCAGGGTCTTGGGCCAGCCTCCCTGAGCAAGGATCAGGTGTTGAAGCATCGAGCCCGGGGTGGGCGGGGGACTCAAGATGAGGACAGTATGGCTGCCTGAGCCTGGTGCACTGGACTGCCCCTCACACATCCCTTTCTCTGCAGACGACGCCCCGCTCAGTGAGCTCTCCTGGTCGTCCTCCCTTGCTGTGGTGGCTGTGTCTTTCTCTGGGCTCTTCACTGTCATCGTCCTCATGCTGGCTTGCCTGTGCTGTAAGAAGGGTGGCATCGGGTTCAAGGTGAGGGCTGGGGGTCTCCAGGGCTGTCCAGGGGGTCCCCAGGGCCTCCTTGCTTATCCATTTGGCAGTGAGCCTCACTCTCTCCTGGGGTTGCCAAGGTGGCTGCCGGGTGACCACGGCTCCCCTGAGACTACCTGGGAACCATCTAGATCCCTGACCTGGGATCCAACAGTCCCTCCTCTGGGGGCTTTCAGGGACTGCCTCCCCTATTTCAGATGCCTTCTGTGGGGATGTGACCTCACACTGTCCTATCCCAGTGTAGGGCCAGGCCTCTTAGTGCCTAGGGAAGCTGAGGATATCCTTGGAAGCCATTGTGGACTTCTAATGTGGCATGAGCAGGGGCTCAGCCCCCAGAGGACCCTGACTCCAAGAGGATGGGCCTCCCTTGTGGGACCCTCAGATCTCTGCTCATTGAACCAGAGGGAAACCAAGCATGCAAATGCACACCCCAGCTGGAATTGTCATTTGGAGTCTCCTAGACTGGTCATCTTCTGCCTGTGGGGAGCTGCAGGTTCTAGAACCAGGGTATCTGTTAGCAAAACAGCAGCCATTGCTATTTGTGGAGAGTCTGCCAAGGCCTGGTGACCTTCACTGAGCCCTTGGAAAGCTGGACTTGAGCTGAGGCTCCCCCTCCAGGGATGGCAGCCAAGAGGCCTTGAGGAGCCAGGAAGGCCTCAGGAGGCCTTGAGGGTTTGCCTGCAAACCCTCAAGTCCACCCCCGTCCAGCTGTAGCTCTGAGCAGGAAGGACTGGGCAGAAAGCACAGAGCTGAGCTCAGAACAGAGGTGCTGCTTGGGGCCTGCGTGGGCCACAGTCCTGCCCGTCAGCACATTGCAGCCTGGCCAGAGTCCTCCAGCCATGCATGCGCCCACCCAGGGCAGTCTAGCCCTGCAGGAGGTCAGATTCCTGTACTCGGAGAGGTTGGGATGGACACGACACCCTGTGGCTTACAGTGCCCCCATCTGTTATGTGGACATCTCCCTACTAAGCAATTCACACCCCAGCTATTGTTGCCCCCCGCTTTGGGGAGCCCAGCGTCTCTCCTCCCTGGCCAAATGTCATGTCACGGAGGGGAGCCTCATGGCAGGGGAGCAGTACAAACATGGCTCTTGCCTTTTCTAAGGCCCAAATTTGCTGGCCTATTCATTCTTCTAGAATCCTCTGATGTGGGCCCAGGCCCACCTATTAACCCCATCAGGCAGGGTAGCTGAGTACCTGAGTGGTGGTGGTGTGGCTCATAGGGGCTGCCGGACCTCTGTTCTTGCCCTGGTGCCTCCATGCTGGGGACACTGTCCCTTTTACCCACAGGCACACAGCGGCTGGCCCAGACAAGGCCGGGAGTCTTCCTGGAAGATTCTGAGAGCAGAACCTCAGTGTCATGGGGTGGGGGTGGGGGTGGGGGTGGGGGAGCCAGGGTGGGACTTGTGGGGCCATTGTACAGCAGCCCCTCCTCAGGGTCCTGAGAACAAGGCCCCACACAACAGCCAGCAGCAGCCCCCTCCTACCCATGCCCTCCTCACCTCCTTGGGAACATGGTGCCTGGAACATTCCAGCGCCAGCGTGCCTTGGAGGGAGGGCCCACTGCCTACTGTCTCCACAGTGGGCTCCCTCTGGGCTCTAGGGGCCAGTGCAGGCTCCCTGTCCAGGAGCTGAGCTGGGGGAGGGGCTGGGCAGGGCTCTGATGCTTACCCTATGCTACCTGCTTGCCCGCTGTGCTGGCAGGACCCGGCTGGCCCTCCGTTCGCAAGGGCAGGTAATGGACTGGAGTCAGGGCTGACTCCAGATAGGGGAGGTGGGCATCTGCAGAGCCCAGGTCTGTGGGGGTCAGGGCAGCAGCTGGGATTAGAGGGTGGCTTCCTGGGCCTGTTGCCATAGGCACCAGTGACTCTGTCCCTCAAGTGTAGATCTAGACATCTGCAGGAATCCTGATAGAGCCTAAAACCCCTCCTTGCAGACAAAAAAACTGAGACCCAGAAAAGGGGGACAAGATGCAAGGACCCTGAACCTGGTGTGTGTGTGGCCACCCCTTAGAAGTCTCTAGGCCCCTCGGAGCCTCAGTTTCCTCACCTGGGCAGTGGGGGTGTGAGGCAGGACAGAATGTGGCTGGGAGAGGTAGTGAGTATTCTAGAGTATGCTGTTACTGTTTTTTGTGCACTTGTTTTAAATCAGGGCAGGCCTGTCCAGGGAGTTTGTGCCAGCTCTGCTCAGAAAAGTGCTCTGGGCCGGTGTTGGGGGGGGGCCTTCTCAGACAGGTGTGACATCATTTCAAAATAGCAGCCTAGCCAGGAGCTGCCAGGGACTGCCCAGCAAGCACCAGGCTCTTAGGAAGCCTAGGAGCTCCCAGTGGGAGGTGCAGCCTGGTGGAGATCCAAGGGCTACCTGCAGAGGGACCGGAAGTGAGGGGTTGCTGGGGGTAGGAGCGGCTATAGGCAGGGGTATTTGGTCTCAGTCCCCTTACGTCCATCCCTTGGACCCTCCCTCCAGCCCCTCCACCAGTATGGGGCTTGACTTGGGCTGCCCACCCCTACCTGAGGCTGCGGCTGGGTCAGGGTTGCTGGGGCTCATTGTCCCCTTCTCTGCAGGCTGAGGTGCTCTCCTGGGACATCTGTGACCCTGAGGAGGCAGGGGCTAGGAGCAGGGCTCTGTGAGAGGACACGGAGAGGGCAGCTAGCAGGGGCTCAAGGATGGGGCTCCCAGTCTGGATCAGGCGCCCCCCAGCCCACCTTACCCCACCCGAGCTCGGGGGGAAGAGAGGTCCAGCTGCACCCGATCTTCTGACTGTTCGTGAGCCCGGTTCATGGTGTGTGCTGCCCTGGCCTGCAGGAGTTTGAGAATGCTGAGGGAGACGAGTATGTGGTGCAGGGCTCGCCGGCTGCAGCAGCGCAGAACGGGCCTGATGTGTATGTCCTGCCACTCACTGAGGTCTCCTTGCCCATGGCCAAGCAGCCTGGCCGCTCAGGTGAGAGGGCCAGGGAGGGTAAGGGGACTGGTCTCACCTCCCTTCCTTGTGCCTTGGGGATCAGCAGGCCTGGTCCTGGGGAAGCCTGAGGTCTCAGCTTTAGAGGTGGGGGGCAGTTGGGATTGGGGACACACAGGGCCATGTGTAGTAGGCTGGCTGTGGCAGAGGGTGCGACCCCACCCCCACCCCGGGCCTGAGAGCCAGCTGTCAGCAGGTTTGAAGACAGCTTTTTGCCTGTCACTTCCCCCACCCCAAAGGCAGGATGCTGTGCTGTGACTAGGAGCAGGTGGGTGGGGTCTCTGGTCCCGGGATTGACCACTCTTCTTTGCTGTCTCTGGGGTGCTTGACCCCAGATTCCTGCCCCCTGTGCTACTCCCCCCTCCCCCACAGGGACACGGGCTCCATTGTGCCTCCCATGCAGGGCCTGCCCACGTAGCAAGGCGGGGGGGGCGGGGGGGGTGAGGGGTGGGGGGAAGCTTGTGGGCTCCCCTTGTGGTTGGGACTGGGAATTGGCTGTTCACTCAAGCCTGAGGGGGACAGGAGGGGTCTGGACTGGACCCAGAGAAGCAAGTGTAGGCAGGGTCTCTTATTACACTCCCTTGGGCTGGTTGCTGTTCTCTGATTGTCCCCATCTGTCCTCACCCTGGGGTCCCTTCCCCCAGGCTGACTGCCCAGAGGGGCAAATGTGGGGCCCCGCTCAAGAAGTAACAGGCAAATGGCTGAGGTTCTGGAGACCCAGTTCTGACCTGGGCAGGAGAGGGATCCCTGGACTCAGGCCAACACTTGGGTCTCTGCTGCCTAGAGGTTCTGGCCATGGACTGTCCCCCACTGCCCCTTCACTGTCCCCTCCTTGCCCACCCAGCTCCTTCAGGGAGGGTAGGTATATCAGGCTAGGGAGCCCTGCTGGCCTTGTGGGGACTCTGGGTGGCACCAGGTCCTGTTTCCATGGTGATGAGCAGGCCACCCCACCTGTCCTGCAAGTGCCCTAACTGAGCCCTCGTCATGAGGGCTCAGGCTTCCTCAGTGGGCTGGGAGCCTACAGAGACCAAGAGAGAACCACCAGCCACAGGCTGGGTCCAGGCTCCAAGCTTGTTCCCCGGCACCTGAGGCTCCTGGAGGAGCCAGCACAGGTCAGGCAGGAGTCCGAGCCTGGGGTCTAAGCCATGAGTATATTTGTCCCCTGGCTTGAAGGCCTGCAGTTGTTCTGGTACCTCATAAAGGGGCAGACAGGCTCAGTTACACAGAGGCCCAGCCTTCCTGGGTGCCACGGGGTCTCTGACTCCTGTGCAAACACTGCCAGAGAGCCAGGGACACTCTGGGAGGCACTGCCTCCTTGGACTGGGCCTGTCAGCTCGGGGGCAGAGGAGTGTCTGGAACCACCACAGATCCTCGAGACTCAAGTAGTCCCAGCCACTGGAACACTGTTCCTGGGGCAAGGGAAACAGGGACCCAGGCCAGCACAGAGGTTGTGTTTTCTCTTGTTACAGCTCTGGTCGCAGCTTACTGAGGATAGCCTGCTTTCGGAGAGGGAGAGATTTGGGGTGAAGCTGGAGTCCAGGGTTAGAAACCTGGGCAGAGGATGGCTTAGGCAGCCCTGGCCCAGCCCTGCCCTCCCAGCCCCTATAGCCCTGCCCCTGTGGCTGTCCAGGTGTCCCATGGTTAGGACCCAAACCCTGCTTCGGGACAAATGAAGTCCTAGATAACCCAAAACAGGAGAGGAACGTCCAGACAGATGGACATGGGGAGAAGCTCCAGGACGCAGGACCCAAGGGGATCTCCATCCTGAATTCTGCATCAAGCCAACACTTCCCAAGTCTCTGGAGACAGCTCCTTTACCCTTGGGCTTGCCTGGCAGCCAGGCTAAGCCCTTGTCCGCCTCTGCTGCTGGGCAGTTGGCGTGGGAGTAGAATTCGGGGAATCTGATGGGGCACGAGTGGGTGCAGCCAGCGCTGGCCCCTTCTTCCAGCCCATACTGACCCTTCCTCTCCACTGACCTCACCCAGCTTGGCCTGCAGGAGAATGGACCCAGTGTGTCCCGTACAGGGCTGTGCCAAGCAGCCCCCAACAAAGGACCCTTTGGTGTGCCTGGTGGTGGGGTGCCAGCCTGCAGCAGGGGTGGGGGGGGTGCTGATCTGTGCCCTCCCTAGGCCCCTGCTCCAGCCTCTTGCCCCAGTCACAGTGCCTGCCTGGTACTGCCTGTGTGTGCCTCCAGCCTGGCTTATTCCAGTGGTTCCCGGCACCCCTTCCCTATCCAGAGATGCCTGGATGGGGCTTGCTGAATTATGGCTGTCTTGGGCAGCAGTCACTCCTGCGCCCAAGGGTCCCTGGCCCCTAATGGCAGCCTCCAGTCATGGTTTCTGTCTCGGGGTCCAGCCTGCCCTCCCTGGCTGGTACTAGCTCCCCAGGGAAGGCCTGGAGTGGCCAGGTGAGGAGGATGGGAAGATGGAAGAGGCCAAGTGGGGTGCTGAACCCTCTACCCCATTACAGTGCAGCTCCTCAAGTCCACAGACCTTGGCCGGCACAGCCTCCTGTACTTGAAGGAGATCGGCCACGGCTGGTTCGGGAAGGTGAGTGTGCTGCCTGGTGGGTGGGGGTGGGGGAGCAGCGGGCAGGCAGGCTTCTCCTGGGAGCCAGCTAGGGAGGGAAGACAACAATGTGTCCCAGTCGATCCCCTGACCCTCAGCCTGGATGGGACATCTGGGTCTCCCTTTTCCTCGTTATAGGACCCCAGAGAGAGAGAGCCAGAGCAGCTGAGGGTCTTGGGGGTAGAGACAACGCTGAGTTCCAGCCAGAGGGCTCAGTGGGAGGGCTCCTGAGCCCTGTCAAAGGAAGCCCAGTGACCTGGCCTGGAGGTCTTGAAGTAGAGTTTGGGGAGGGGCCATGGGTGACACCCATTCCGGCAGGTGTTCCTGGGGGAAGTGCACTCGGGCGTCAGCAGCACCCAGGTGGTGGTGAAGGAGCTGAAGGTGAGCGCCAGTGTGCAGGAGCAGATGCAGTTCCTGGAGGAGGCACAGCCCTACAGGTGGGTGGCACCTGGGGACAGACCAGCTGGAGGGGCAGGCCCCAGGTGTGTGTGGGGACTGAGTATCATAGACGAGCTCTGTGTCCCCACCCTTCACCTCTCCTGCCCCAAGAGTCAGATCAGCCTGTGGCTGTTGCAGGGCCCTGCAGCACAGCAACCTGCTCCAGTGCCTGGCCCAGTGCTCCGAGGTGACACCCTACCTTCTGGTTATGGAGTTCTGCCCACTGGTGAGTGGTGGCCTGTGTGTGCCCAGAGGGAAGTGGGGGAACCTTTCTGAGCTGGGGCCCTCCCATGCACCGCCCGTGGACGGTGCCAGCCCCTGAAGGCCTCATTCCCTAAAGCAGAGTCCCCGGGTCGCCTCCCCGCCCACACCAAGAAGGCCTGCATAGAGGCGCTGACTGAAAGCATTAGGGAGGGCTCCAGGGGCTCCAGCATTGCGGCCTGGAGCTGGGACTCCCCTGTGCCCCGCAGGGTTGGTTCCCACCTGCCTCGGCTACCCAAAGCAACACACGTGGTGGTTTAGTGTAAGACGTCCTGGGCCAGCTGTGCAGCTCACACCACTTACTTGCACCGTCTAATCATGGGAGCCTGGACTAACTGCTTCCCAGGGCACAATCCAAGTCTTGTTCCTGCACACTGCCCCTGTACACATGCCTGGCTGTGACACTTAACTGAGGCAACTGCAGGACACAGGCTAGTACCTGGACTTCTACAGTTGGGTCCTGTCAGCAGTCAGTGCTGCCAGCCCTTCCTTTGGTCACCAGCCCCAGGTTCCTTCCTGGCATGTGTGGCAGATCTGCTTGGGCCCACGCTCTTGTCTGCTTGAGGAGACTCCACAGGGCTGGGTGGCGAGTCCAGTTTAGAGAAAGCATTCTGTTCCATGCTGCCTGTCTGTGAGCCGCACAGCCATCCCCACTTCACTGAGGGGACTGCAGGGCAGTCCCATGATGCCAGCCAGGCACCAGCTCAGTCCACTAGTCCCCAACACGGGATGGAAGGAAGGTGGGCATGAGGGACCTCCAGGACAGGGTAGCAGTTCCCTAGATGGCAGGTGACCTTGTGTGCTCCCTCTCTGCAGGGGGACCTCAAGGGTTACCTGCGGAGCTGCCGGGCGGCAGAGTCCATGGTGCCTGACCCTCTGACCTTGCAACGCATGGCCTGTGAGGTGACCTGTGGTGTCCTACACCTGCATCGCAACAACTATGTGCACAGGTGAGGACAGGTGAGGCCAGGCTGGGCAGTAGCTAGGAAGCCCTGGGCTGGGACCTGCTCTACCTAGACCCTTGGATGGGCTTTCTCTATGCCCCGCCTCCTTACTTGCAGGTAGGGCCTCGTGAGGATTAACTGGGTTCCTGTACACAGCACCAAATAGCCACTCTGCAAGGAATTTTTACTAGATTTTTTCAAACTTGAGAAGACTGGGTTGAAATCCACTTTGCAGGAGAGTTAAGTGAAGAAACACATACTGTTCTTGAGGCGGTCAGCCACACCCTGTGGCCCCACACCAGCCCCCCTCTGTCTCCCTCAGGCCTCAAAGGGAGGGCTCAGCTGGCCCTGCAGTGGGAGGGACAGCTCTGTCCTGCCTCTGGCAGTCTAAATACGGGCCAGGATATCCAGCCTCCTGGGAGCCTGGGGGGGACATGCTGGAAGAAGTGGCGATGGACAAGTGGCCCTGCCAGCCCGGATGCCGCACGGGCCGTCCTCCCCAACAATATCCTGGTGCTGAGTGGTGACACAGGCAACTCCAGCATCAGTGATTTTGTTGAAGAGGGCAGCTGCCAGCTCCTGACCCACCCGCTGCTCGGCCCACAGGCCTGGGCCCCACAGCTGTCCACTGGCACAGACCCGGGCCTCCCTGGGTAGGGGCAGGTTGAGTCCTCAGCACAATAACAGGGCAGTTGTGGGCAACCCCATACTGCCTTGTGTTCCAAACATCCATGTGGCTACCAGCCAGGCAGGAGGGTAAAATCCTGCAGCCCAGGGCCAGCTGCTGAGCTGGAGCTCCTGGGGTGACCTGCATGCTCCACCATGCTCTGAGGCCTCAACATCAGCCCTGTGTGGCAGGGCAGGGCCAGGCACTAGAACATGGGTTCTGGCCATTGGCAGGACCCCCCCCAACACACACCAAGGACACCCCAGGCCTCAGTTTCTCCGTTGATTCCCACCTCTCAGGGAGCTGTTGTAGTGAGGTGGAGGGGAAATGGCCCTGGAAGGAAACTGTAGACACACAGGGGAGGGGCCCTGTGGCTTGGGGTCCCTGCTGGGCAGGTCAGCTGATGAGTGTCCCAGGAAAAGGGTGGAAAGAGCTGGGTACTGGCATTTTTAGATGGGCAGTACCTTTACTGGGGCCCCTTTAGTCTGTTGTAGCCTTCTCCGGGCCTCATTTTCTTCATCTGCGTTGTCATGTGTGACTGACCATGCAGCCTTCCTTCCGAAGTGCCCAGTGCAGGGAATGGGGTCAGGGCTCAAGCATGATGGACAGCTCAGACACCCTTCCTGCTTGTCTGCCCGGCTAAGCCCATATAAGCCCATCCAGGATCCTCAGGGCTGGACACCTTCAGCCTGGCACCCCCAAGCTGACTCTGCCTCCTGCCCTGTAGTGACCTGGCTCTGCGAAACTGCCTGCTCACAGGCGATCTGACGGTGAAGATTGGTGACTATGGCCTGTCTCACTGCAAATACAGGGTAAGTTGGGGTCATGCCATGCCAGCAGGGGTGGGGCTGCCAAATGGTGGGGTTGACTCTGCCCCTGTATGCTGTCAGGAGGACTACTTCGTGACTGCCGACCAGCTGTGGGTGCCCCTGCGCTGGATCGCACCAGAGCTGGTGGATGAAGTGCATGGTAACCTGCTCGTGGTGGACCAGACCAAGACGAGCAACGTGTGGTGAGCGGAGCCTGGAAACCGTGACTCCACCTGCCGCATGCCAGACCTCGAAGCTACCTGATCTCTGGCAGGGATGCAGGGTCACCAGACACTGATCCACCCACACCGTTTCCTTCTGTGGTTAGGATGTAGGCTGGCCATGGGAGGACGCATGGGACAGAATGCTCATGTTGGGACCCTGTGGCCTCCTGAGGTCCCATCGGGGGCTGTGTGTGTCACTGGGAGGTGCCAACAGCCCAAAGTGGCTGGGTTGTTGGATCCCCTGGGGTAGTGGAGGGATCACCTCAAGAGTCAGGGTGCTGTGCCTCCCAGGACTTACGAACTGATCCCCATCCACACCAGGGACAAAATGCACATTTAGGTCCAAACCTCACTTCGAACAGCAGCCAAGGGTCATGTGTCCTTACAGAATGTGCCTTGACTTGCACCTGTGTCCTTGGAAAGTGTGGGTGCTGTTGGCTGCTCTGGGGGAATGCTGGGCAGGAGCTCCCTGGACTGCAGCTTGGAAGCCTCCTATCCTGAGCCCCCAGTGCTGAGCTGGGCACTGAGCGGCCAATCTTTCTGACCTGGCACTGAGTCTTCAGAGGGACATGGGCCAAGCTGCCCTGGGGTCTTGGCAGATGCCAGCATTTACCCTGGGCTGTCTCTTGCCAATCAAGGTGGGGGGTGGCTATTCTATTCCTGGCCTGGACCAGCCTCTGTTTCCTCCTTCCTGGTGACCATCAAAGCCTGCACCTATGGACCAGCTCTCCTTTCTGAGCGTTAGGGAGCCTCATCAAGTCCTTTGACTGAGTTCATCATGGGCACTCCACTCCCCTGCTCCCCATCCTTGTCTCTTCATTGAGGTGCCCCCTTTCTGGCCTTCCTAGCCCAGTGCACTGTGGGTGCCTGGGGTCCCCAGTCACAGTCATTTCATTCCCTCAGCCTCCCAGGCCAGCCTGGAGACCAAAGGAGCCAAGTGAAGCCACCACCCACTAGAAGGAACCCCCAAGTGTTTTCTCCTGGTTCTGCATGCCCTGCCTGTTCCTCCTGGCCCTACCCATGCTGGGCTGGTGGTGTTCAGGCTCACCTCCCTCTCAGCCTCAGCCTCATGCTGTCATGGGCGGGGCCCTGCCTGGGCTCAACACCCTCCTTCCAGCTTCACCAGGCAGTAACCATACCTGGTACATTGCCTGGTCTTCGGGGTGAACAGTAAATGAATGAGTGGACAGACAAATGGACTTGACTTCGCGCAAGGCCAGTCTGACTTTTGTTAGGCATCCTGAGCCTTGGGATTGGGCCTCGCTGGGGTGGCATGGTCTGTCCTTGGGGAGGAGCAGCTGGTACAGAACTGAGCTCTGGTCTTGGAGGGGCTGAAATGGTGACAGAAACTGCCTCTTAGGTGTCCAGGGGGTCACAAGCTGTGGCTCACTGTGGTTGCCCCTGCAGGTCCCTTGGTGTGACCATCTGGGAGCTCTTCGAGTTGGGTGCACAACCCTACTCCCAGCACTCAGACCGGCAGGTGCTGGCTTACGCCGTCCGAGAGCAACAGCTGAAGCTGCCCAAGCCCCAGCTGCAGCTGACTCTGTCTGACCGCTGGTGAGGACCCCATCATCCCTGCAAAGGAAGGCTGAAACTGTGTGTGTGTGTGTGGTGCCCCAAGTCACCAGAGCACAGCTGCCTCAACTCCACTGCCTGGGTTCCAGCTCTTCCCTGGCCTCCCCAATCTTGTGGCTTCTGGTCCCCACTCCCTGACCTCCCCTGGGTCCCTGTCTGTAGCAGGGCTGGGGATCAAGGGGAAATGGCCCCCCACCCCCACCCCAAGACTGAGCCTACCTTGGGAGATTCCCTTCACTGCTCTCAAGGAACCCTGAGAATGGTCTCCACTGGCCCTGGGGAGGCTCCTGGCCAGGATGACTCTGGATTGGCCAGGGCCACCAATGGGGGCTTTCCCGCAGGTACGAGGTGATGCAGTTCTGCTGGCTGCAACCAGAGCAGCGGCCCACGGCGGAGGAGGTGCACCTGCTGCTGTCTTACCTGTGCGCCAAGGGCACCACAGAGGCGGAGGAGGAATTCGAACGGCGCTGGCGCTCGCTGCGGCCCGGTGGAGGCGGCGGTGGCAGCATGGACCCCGGGCAGGGCGCGGCAGGCCTTGCACTGGGCGGCGCATCCGAGCTCGCTGCCGCCTCCTCCTTCCCGCTGCTGGAGCAGTTCGCGGGCGACGGCTTCCACGCGGACGGCGACGACGTGCTGACGGTGACCGAGACGAGCCGCGGCCTCAACTTCGAGTACAAGTGGGAGGCGGGCCGGGGCGTCGAGCCCTTCCCTCCGCCGGGGGCCGCGCCGAGCCCGGGCCGCGCCGCGCGCCTGCAGGAGCTGTGCGCCCCCGATGGCGCACCGCCGGGCGTGGTGCCCGTGCTCAGCGCGCACAGCCCCTCCCTGGGCAGCGAGTACTTCATCCGCCTGGAGGAGGCCGTGCCCGCCGCCGGCCACGACCCCGACTGCTCGGGCTGCGCCCCCAGCCCCCGAGACGCCCCGGACCAAGACTACGACTCAGACGGCAGCACCACCGCCTCTCTGGCCATGGAGCCGCTACTGGGCCACACGCCTCCCGCCGAGGGCCCGTGGAGCCGCTGCGACCACTACCCGTGCAGGAGCCGTGTCAGGGACCCGCCCTGCCCTTCTCGCTCGCCCTCTCCTGGGACCCCGATGCTGTCTGAGACTGGAGCTGATGACACAGACTGGGGCGTGGCCTTCTGCCCGCCCTTCGAGGATCCACTGGGAGCCTCTCCCTCCGGGAGCTCTGGGGCCCAGCCATCCTGGGGCGAGGAGGAACTGGAGGAGGCTGAGGCCCAAAGGGCTGCACAGCGTGGACACTGGAGCTCCAACGTATCAGCCAACAATAACAGTGCCAGCCGTGACCCAGACTCCTGGGACCCCGGCTATGTGGGTAGCTTCACAGACAGCTTCATGGATGACTGCCCCAGCCTAAACCAGACCCCACAGGCCTCCCCTGAGCTGGGCCACCTCCTGGCCCAGGAGGACCCCAGAGAGCCTCTGATCGTGCCACAGGCTGCCTCTGTTGGCCAGGAGCCAGGCCACTGCCTCCGCCTTCCCCTTCTGTGCCCTACCCAGGGCCTGGCACCTGCTGCCTGCCTGATCACATCCCCCTGGACAGAGGCAACTATATGTGGGGGTGACAACCCCCAGGTGGAACCCAAACTTGCCCAGGAAGCTGAGGGCATCACTGGACCCCAGTTGCCCCTTCCTTCTGTCCCCTCTCCATCCCATGAAGGAGCCCCACTTCCCTCAGAGGAGGCCAGTGCCCCTGATGCCATGCCTGCCTCACCTACACCTGCTGCCAGCAGCCGGATGACGGTCCCCGAACTGGCCCCTACCCTTGACAACAGCAGCATGTCCCCCGAGCTGGAGGGACCCAGCAGCGAGGATGAAGACACCACTGAGGCTACTTCAGGTGTCTTCACTGACTTGTCCAGCGACTGCCCACAGGCTGAGAAACCAGATGTAGTTCCAGCCTTGCGCTCTCTGCAGAAGCAGGCGGGAACCCCTGACTCCCTGGACTCGCTGGACATCCCATCGGCAGCCAGTGATGGTGGCTGTGAGGTCTTAAGCCCATCAGCTGCTGGGCCCCCTGGTGGACAGCCCCGTGCCCTGGATAGTGGCTATGACACAGAGAACTATGAGTCCCCTGAGTTTGTGCTAAAGGAGGCCCACGAGTCGAGTGAGCCTGGAGTCTTTGGAGAGCCGTCCTCTGAGGGTGAGACTCAGCTCCCCACCTCCCTTGGTGGCCTCAGTGAGAAGAACCCCTACCGAGACTCGGCTTATTTCTCGGACCTAGATGCAGAGTCCGAACCACTCCTGGGCCCTGAGAAGTGCAGTGGGGTCCAGACCTCCCAACTGGAACAGGGTCTGCAGAGCCCACAGGGTCCCGGGCAGCAGTCTGTGCAGGCTTCTCCTGGGCCTGGAGTGCTGGACAAGACACTGGTCCCTGGCTCTAGGGAGGCGCTGCTATCACCTCTGCAGCCCAAGGAGCCTTCCCCAGAGCCAGGTGTCTGCTCAGACAGTTCTGGGCCAGAGCCTCCTGGAGCCCAGGGCCCAGCTGAGGTACAGCCTGTGCCCAGCCCCAGCCGCTCCAAGTTTTTCCTGCTGACCCCAGTCCCAGTGAGCTCAGAAGGCAATGGCATGGAGCACCAGGGGCCCCCAGGAATGTTGTCAGGGCCAGCCCCTCTGGGACGGACAGGGAGTCCTGGCACCCCCAGACTCCCACTCTGCCTGGCCCTTCCTGGCCACTCTAGGGCCTTGGAGGGCCGAGCAGAAGAGGAAGAGGAGGACAGTGAGGACAGCGACGAGTCTGATGAGGAACTCCGCTGCTACAGCATCCAGGAGCCCAGCGAGGACAGCGAGGAGGAGTCGCCAGCAGTGCCCGTGGTGGTGGCCGAGAGTCAGAGTGCACGCAACCTGCGCAGCCTGCTCAAGATGCCCAGCCTGCTGTCTGAGACCTTCTGCGAGGACCTGGAGCGCAAGAAGAAGGCGGTGTCCTTCTTCGATGACGTCACAGTCTACCTCTTCGACCAGGTGGGCCTCTGCCGTGGGCCTCTATCTGCACAGGGCTAGGGTGCACGGCTGAGGAGGGTGGGATCCCTGGCCTGAGCCTGATCAGCCACTTCTGATCTCTCCAGGAGAGCCCCACCCGGGAACTCGGGGATCCTTTTCCGGGAGTAAAGGAGTCGCCCCCCGCGTTCCGGGTGGGTAGCCCAGGCTCCCCCAGCCGGCCTCGGCGGACTGAGCGCTCCCCTGACAGCTCCACGGTGGAAGAGGGTGAGCAGGGGGCAGGGGCTGGATAGTGACGTCATGGGAGGTGTGGCTCACCAGAATGGTGGGGGAGGGGCAATGGTGTCACAGGGCAGGGCCCAACTCTCAGCAAACAAAAGTGACCCGGGCTTTCAGGCAGCAGGTTCGAGTGGGACGATGACTTCCCTCTGGTGCCGGCCAAGGCGGCCTTAGCGACCACGCTGGACCCGGCTGTGCCAACCCCGGCTGCGCCCCCCACACCAGCTGCGCCCTTTTCACGCTTCACCGTGTCACCCGCGCCTGCGTCCCGCTTCTCCATCACACATGTGTCTGACTCGGACGCCCAGTCCTTGGGAGGTGAGGTGCGGAGGGGACAAAAGGGCTTGGTGAGGGGGTGGCCTAGAGGGGTGCCGGTGGGCCAGAGGAAACAGCCCCATTGAGGCTAGGTACCTTGTCCAGGGCCACACAGCTACCCCCATCTGACCTTGCCCTCTTAGCAATGCCTGGCTTCTCCAAATCTTCAGGGCACAGCTGGCCAACACCTCCCAAGCCCTTGGACCCACCCTACCCAGGCAGGGACGTCTGCCTTCTCTGTCTCCCACCCCACTCTTCTCTGCCTGTCCCCTCTCCTGCCCCCCCAACCTGCTGTAGCCTTTTGCACCAGAAAGTTCCCAGCTTGGTGGTCTCCCTCCCCCAATGCGCCCTGCTCTGCCCTCACCCTCACCTGCTGCCCCATCTCGGACCACAAGTTCTTGCCAGAAGCAAGCTGTGTTCTGGGACGGTGTGGCCAGTAGCTAAGGCCCTTGGTGCTCAGGGATCTGTAGCCCACCCTGCCAGTCATGCCCCAGTCCACTGCCAGCACCTAACTCAGCTCTCATCTGGCAGGTCCTCCCCTCCCCCCGCAGTCCCACCTACCATGCCTGACAAGTTCCTTTCCTGCAGCTGGCTCCTGCAAAACCCACTTCCTCTGGGAAACCTCCCTGCCTCTCACCCCCTCATATAGACCCAGCCCTTCCCCAGCTGCCCTTGGCCTATGGCTGCAGCCTTATGGGAAGGGCTTGTCATCCTCACCCCGGCCACATAAGCAGTTGCATGACCCTGGACATTCCCTTCCTGTTCAGGCCTCAGTTTCCCCAGTGTAAAAGCAGGACATTTGCTAAGCGTAGTTGGGTCTGAGTCAAGATGATATGGTGGGAAGACACAGGCGGATCTACTGCAGTAGAGGCCTGCACGTGCACCAGGCAGAGTCATGGGGCAGGAGGGGCTCTGGCATCTCCCCACTGTGCTCACATGGCACCCCTTCTTTGCCAGGCCCTGCAGCAGGTGCTGGGGGTGGAGGCACAGAGGCTTGAGATCCAGGTGGCTCAACCCTGAGGAGGCTGGTGTCACTGGAGCCCCTGTCATCCTGTCCCAGGCAGCAGCAAAGATGGTGACAGGAAATGAGTGGGGACTGTGGTCCTGCAGGTTCCAGGGCCACAGTGCCCCCAACAGCATCCTAGAGAAGCAGGTGGACTCCAGGTGGACAAAAGGCCTGTCTGCAGACCTGGATGGCAGACTGGCTGTCCTGGGGGCACAGTGTGTCCTGGACTCCGGGGTTTGCTGCCAGCCCCTGAGGATGCCTGAAGCCCAGGGGCCCATGAGTGTCTGTACACGCACATGCACTCGAGGGGTTTCACACCCCTGAGCAGTCCCCTAGCCTGCAGCTGCCTTCCTGCCATGGTTGCTGCTGTCGAACTGGTTGGCCTCAGGCCACGGGACCCCACTCTTGGCCACTGCCGAGCCGTGTGTTCATAGGACACTCAGCCAAGGGAGGTACAGGGCCAGGAGTCCCTTTCTGGCCCTTCTGCCCATCCCACTTGGGTCTGGGTTTGCTCAGTGCAAGGACAGGCCCCTGGGCTCCTTGTCCTTAGCTCAATCTAGCTGTTTCCCCTTCACTTCTTGGCCATGAGCCCCCCCCACAGGGTCTGGGCTGCTCCTGCCTGGGTCCCCGAGTAGTAGGGAGAGGCTTCCAGGCTGCAACACTGCCCGGTGTGGCTGGGCCGGTTCTAGAGGTGCCCTTGGCAGTGGGCAGTGCCCCTCCACAGAGCAGTACCTGGTCCCATCCCCAGGTGGCCAAAGGAGAGTGGGGGCTGCATCCCATAGTCAGTGTGGGGCTCCTGCCTGCAGGAAGGGCGTGGAGAAGCGCAGGGCTGGGCGGGGGGGAGGGCAGCACAGGGAATATTTTTGTAACTTGCTGGAGCAAATGGAAATGGGGTGATTCTAAGTTATTGTTGCCAAAGACATGTAAAGTTTATTGTTGCTTTGGGGGTGGGGGACTTGTTTTGGTTTATGTTTTTATTTTCTATTAGTTTGAGGCTTAGGACGCTGGTGCAATGATTTTCTTGTTCTTTTGTTTTATTTTGTTTGTTTTTAAAGAGAAATCAAGCTAAGAAAAACAGCCTTCATGCTTGGCGTGTTTTCTTTTGGGGTCTGCAGCTAATGCCCAGGATGGAACAGGGCTGGGGTGGGACCCAGTTATCAGGCCTTTCCTCCATCCTGTACACTCTGATAACCTGGCCCACTGTGCCCAGGTGGGAAGGTCCCTAAACCGCCCTTTCTGCCCCCAAATTGGCTCAGCCTAGGCAGCTGAAGAGGGTAAACCCCCGACTTTCCCAGGGCAGCTGTCTCCTGCTCTTCCAGGGACAGGTCCCAGGCTTGGCCCAGCGGTGGATAAAGTAGGAGGCAGGAGACTTTGCAAAAGTCGGGGCTTCTGTGCTCACCTGCTCTGGTTCTGGGCCTGGGTCCAGCCCAGGTATGCCTCCTGTGCAGTGTGTTGACAGTGATAGGCGGTTCAGGCCTCCAAAGGCCTTCTTGGAGGGTCAAGGAAGGAAGAAACTCTGCCTGGGACTTCTCCCCAGACCAGGGCTGCTGTCACCAGGGCAGGTCAGCAGGCTGTACTGTACCCAAAGATGTCACATAGCACAGATCTGATGATAATGTTTTTAGTCCTAAGTTTCAGAAGCCCAGCCCCTACAGGAACAGATGGGCGGGGCACCCAGGCATCCTGGGGCAGAATCTAGGCACAGGACATGCTCCAGCCAGTGGGCACACAGCTGGTGACCCAGGCCACTGCACCTGCCAACTGGGACCAAGGAGGAAATGTGTGAAGCTGGAGGGGTAGAGCCTACAGAGACCATTGTAAGGGGGCAGAGACCACTGTGGGGGGGCAGAGGCCATTGTGGACGGGGCTGGGTCTGCATCCAGGCACAGCAGGCAGGGCCTGCAGGAAAGGACAAATAACTTCTGAACAGGGCAAGAAGTTCCCCACCCTGTGCTCCTGCTGTCCCCCACCCCCGGCTGACATATCACACTCTACACAGGTGAGTAGCCCATTTATTGACCAGATGTGGGAGCTAAAAGCAGCATGGGCCAGGCATGGTGGCACATGTCTGGAATCCGAGCACTCGGGAGACTGAGGCAGGAAGATCCAGAGTTCAAGGCCAGCCTGGACTACATAGCAAGACCCTGTTTCAAAGTTACAACAAAGGCGGCGGCGGTGTGGGAGCGTGAGCCCTTACAGCTATAAGCTGAAAGTGTGTCCCTGCACTCAGGGACACAGAAGGCTCCGCAGCCCTCAGAGAGCCAACCCCTCTGCCAGGGCGGCCCCATGGCCAGCTGGCCTCGCCTCTTAGCTGCTCCTCCTCATTGGGCCCTGCCCAGGAGCAGTGGGGATCCAGCACAGTCCAGGCTGAAGTGAGAGGAAGCCGGGAGGTGGGAGGCTTGGAGATGGTGCGCTACACAGGAACACACAGGTGGCAATAATCAGTTATGTGGGTGGGAAACAGTGGCCATGCAGCTGTGGCTGTCAGCTGAGGAGGGGGGCAGACCTGTCATTGGTCACTGTTGGCTTCAGCTGGACATTGGCGAAGGGGTTCCTGAGAAGAGAAGAGTAGTTTCAGTTCAGGACAGGTGCCATGCATGAGCTGTGACACCCTGGCTACTCAGCGACCTCCAGCACTGTACCCCAAGGCCAAGACTTAGAGGCGGGGCCAGGACTAGGTGCTATCTGCAGGGCCTGCTTGCCCCACATGCTTCAGGCAGGGCAACCTTTCCAGGGCCAGTGGTGGTGGTGGGGCCAGCAGTATCCCTCCCAGTTCAGAGGCAGATGCTCCTTGAGACAGCCCTGAGTAGGGTCCCCTGCAGTTTGGTAACCCCCCCACCCCAAATCAGGTCAAGCCCAAGGCGTAGATGGACCCTTGAATGGACAACCTATCTACACAGAGGCCACAGCTCAGCAGGCCACACAGAAGCTGGTCCTGGCATGCAGAGTGCCATAGGAGGCACGCCATAGACAGGCAGACAGGACAGACACGAGGTGCACGCACCAGCACCACAGTTGGGGTGGTCACCATGCCTCTGCAGTGGGGTTGACCACCTCCTTGGTTGGATAGCAGTTTCCCCTGCTGAGGGCTTGGCCACTTTCCCAGGGAAACTGAGCCCTCCCCGCAAACAGCCCCCAGGACCATAGCTGATGCACAATAGGACTCAAGACAAGAAGTGGGAATGGAACAGACGAGCACAGATGGGCAGGTCCCTGTGGGAGCCTCTCCTCCTTGCAGTCCCCATCAGGCTCAGGAGGGCCCATCCCAGCGGGGACAGCACAGAACAGCAGGTGGGAGAAGTCAGGCAGCTGCATGGTGACAGCACAGAATGGCGCATTGACACAGGGACTTAGAGGCACAGGACTGCACTCCCAGGGAAGCACGCTTTGGCTCTGGAGCCGTTACCTGGAGAGGGGTCACCTCTGGCCCAGCTGGGTCCTCAGGAGTCTGGGGAGGGGGGGCAGCAGCAGGCCCGCGGGCGGGTGGGCAGGCACTCTGTCCAGCGTGCCCGGGAAGACCCACATGGGTGGGGCTTCTCCCTATGCCTTCCTGAAGACTGTTTTCTACAAATCTGAAACACTTTGACTCTGAGGTTTTCAAAGGGTGAAACACTGGGGGCAAGACTGACAGGTGCACACCAGCTTTCCCCTCTCAGCCAGTGTCTGAGCACCCTGCACCCACCCCACTGCTTGCCACCTTTGCTTCAGTGTGCGATCAAAGGCCACTGTCAACTCTGCCTGCACCTCAGGCCTTGCCCCACGCTGGGCTTTTCTTCTGGTCTGGGCAGGTGGGCTTCACCATCCCCACCTGCAGGCAGGTTGGGCCGCCTGGGTTGCAAAGGTGAGGATCCTGCCACTTTGCCAGGCTGCCCTCAGTATACTCTGCCTCTGAGAGAGGCTCCCAGGCCTGGGCTCAGAGCAACAGGCCCTGGGAATTCTTGGATGGGGGCATACGTTCCTATTGAGGGTCTGGGACAGAACAGGACAAAGAACAGACCTGCCCCAGGTACCAGAGCAGGGAGGCCAGCCCTGGATCACGTGCAGAGAACGGAGAGCGGTTTGCAGGACACCTGAAGGAAGTTGTCGGTCCCCAACCAGGCCCAATGGGGAAGCTCAGACCTAGAAAATGCCTCAATTGAGACCTTTGTCCTCTAACAC